CAGGAGACTCGCTTGAGCCCAGAGTTGGAGGTTGCTGTGAGCTGTGATGCCCCGGCACTCAAACCAGGAGGATAGCTTGAGGCTCTGTCTCCAAAAAAAAAAAAAAAGATGTCCGTTCAAGCTGGGTGCAGTGGCTCACACCTATAATCTGGGGAGCCAAGGCAGGAGGATTACTTGAGCTCAGGAGTTCAAGACCAGCCTGAGCAACAGAAAGACCCCCATTTCTACTAAAAATAGAAATTGTGGTGAACACCTATAGTCCTAGCTAAGCTACTCAGGAGGCTGAGGCAGGAGGATTGCTTGAGCCCAGGAGTTTGAGGTTGCTATGAGCAAGGCTGATGCTACGGCAGCCTTACCCTCATGACAGAGTGAGACTCTGTCTTGAAAAAGAAAAATAAGTTAATAAATAAACAAATAAATACAGAAAAATTACCTGGGAGCATGATAGTCCATACCTATAGTCCTAGCTAGTCGGCAGGCTGAGGTACCAGAGAGACAACCACTTCCAGGTATTAAGCATATTAAACACAGAATAATTAAAATAGTAAGTATAGCGACAGGATCAAGCAGATAGATTAATGAAACAAAATTAAAACCCAGAAATATACGTGTATAATTATAAATGTAAAATTATATATGTAATTTATTTATATACATAAATTAAGTTTCTTATAAAGGTGGAGTTTTTATTTTTTATTTATTTATTTTTTTTAGGGCTACAGAGAACAAGTCTATTGGGTGAATGCTGATGGCAAACATCGTCCCAAAGAGACAAGATGGGAAAGGTCCTGTGACCAGAGAGCCTAGGACACCTTCAGGCTAGATACAGTCTCACACAGGAAAAGGGCTCTGGGGATATCGGGAGGGCCCTCTGCCATTCAGCATCATACGGACAAGCTCTTCATAGTTGATACAGCCATTACTGTCCTCATGCCCTGCCACCAGCATCTCAGCTTCTTCCTCTGTCATCTTCTCACCCAGTGTGACAAGGACATGCCAGATTTCAGCACCCATGACTGTGCCATTCCCTTCCTTATCAAGCACCCGAAGGCCTTCAGTGTAATTCTCAGAGGTGCCTTGGTCCTTGTTCTTGGCCACAGTCTGCAGCACGGGCAGAAAGTGCTCAAAGTCCAACACCTTCACATTCATCTCATCACTCTTGGGGTTCCCCAGGACCTTGAGCACCTGACCGTTGATAGGGTTCTGGCTCAGGGCCTTCATCACATCCCCACACTGGCTATACAAGATCTTGCCAAAAGGTGGTATTTTTAAAAAGACAGATTGTTCAATAAAAGGTATTGGCTGGGTGCAGTGGCTCACGTCTGTAATCCCAGCACTCTGGGAGGCCAAGGCAGGTAGATTGCTTGAGCTCAGGACTTTGAGACCAGCCTAAGCAAAACAAGACCCCATCTCTTCAAAATAGAAAAACTAGCTGGGTGCTGTGGCAGGCACCTATAGTCCCAGCTACTTGGGTGGCTGAGAGAAGAGGATTGCTTGAGACCAAGAGTTTGAGGTTGCTGTTAGCTATGACACCACAGCATTCTACTGAGGGTGACATAGAGAGACTCTGTCTCAAAAAAAAAAAAATTAAAATTTAGAGTGTGGTGGCACCTGTGGCTCAGTGGGTAGTGCACCAGCCCCATATACTGAGGGTGGCAGGTTCGAGCCCAGCCCCAGCTAAATTGCAACAAAAAAATAGCCAGGCATTGTGGCAAGTACCTGTAATCCCAGCTACTCAGGAGGCTGAAGCAGGAGAACTGTCTAAGCCCAGGAGTTGGAGGTTGCTATGAGCTGTGAAGCCCCAGCATCCTACCAAGGGCAATAAGTGAGACTCTGCTCTAAAAAAAAAAAAAAAAATTAAAGTTTGCGGTGAAGGGTAGTGCCTGTGGCTCAGTGGGTAGGGCACGGGCCCCATATACTGAAGGTGGCGGGTTCAAACCTGAACCCGGCAAAACTGTAACAAAAAATATCTGGGCACTGTGGCGGGCACCTGTAGTCCTAGCTACTCGGGAGGCTGAGGCAAGAGGAGCATCTAAGCCCAAGAGTTGGAGGTTGCTGTGAACTGTGACACCACGGCACTCTACCGAGGGCGACAAAGTGAGACTGTCTCAAAAATAATAAATAAGGGTGGTGCCTGTGACTCAGGGGAGTAGGGTGCTGGCCCCATATGCTGGAGGTAGAGGGTTCAAACCCAGCCCCAGCCAAAAACTGCAAAAAAAAAAAAAAAGAAAAAAAATAATAAATAAATAAAATAAAATAAATAAAGTGTGTGGTGAAAATATTCATGTATGTCTGTACAATATAAAAATAGTCATTATTCCATCCTGGATCAGTCCTTAGCAGATAGTAGGGAAATAGGACATTCAAGGTGAGGTTTGCTGTTTTTACTCACTCTGCTGTAATAGTAAAATGTGTCACATTAAGTATATATTACTTGTCTAGTTAAAAAAAAATTAATTGTGGGTTCCTCACCAGAGGAGTGTTAGTAGAGAGCTGAAAACATTATTTGCAGAGTACCTTGCAGGGGGAGTTCCAACCTGGTAGGGAATTTCAGACCAGATGGGTCTCTAGGCAACCTTCAAAATAAAACATTCCTTTGTTCTGTGATCCATAACTCTAGTGGGACTTGCCTTATTTTTCCAACTGAATTATAAGCTCCTTAAGGACAGGGAGGCTGGATTTTGCTTTGCCAAGGTCTGCCACTTCAATGCAGGAACATCTGTTTTTTCTTTCTGTCTGTCTTTTTTTTTTTTTTTTGCCAGGGCTGGGTTTGAACATGCCAGCTCTGGCATATGGGGCCGGCACCCTACTCCTTGAGCCAGAGGCACCGCCTTTTTTTTTTTTTTTTTTTTTTTTTGAGACAGGGTCTCAAGCTGTTGCCCTGGGAAGAGTGCATGGAGTCACAGCTCACAGCAACCTCCAACTCTTGAGCTTAAGCCATTCTCTTGCCTCAGCCTCTCAAGCAGCTAGGACAACAGGCACCCGGCTGTTTTTTGGTTGCAGTTGTCATTGTTGTTTAAACAGGCCCGGGGCTGGTTTCGAATCTGTCACCCTTGGTGCATGTGGACAGCACCCTGCAGACTGAGCTACGGGCACTGCTTGGAACATTTGTTTTTTTCAAGCCAACCTAGTGCAGTCTCAGTGTCCACAGCTTCAAGGTCATATGTTGTTGCTCTAAACTTTCATACCAGGCTGGGCATAGTGGCTCATGCCTATAATCCCAGCACTCTGGGAAAGAAAGGTGAGTGGATTACCTGAGCTCAGGAGTTCAAGAACAGCTTGAGCAAGATGAGAACCCCCCTCTCAAAAAATAGCTGGACGTTGTAGCAGGCGCCTGTAGTCCTAGTGACTCAGGAGGCTGAGGCAAGAGAATTTCTTGAGCCCAGGAGTTTGTGGTTGCTGTGAGCTATGACATCACAGCACTCTACGAAGGGTGATAGAGTGAGATAATATCTCAAAAAATAAAAAGTTAACCTTTCATATCACAGAGAGAAATATAATATAATTTTCCTGGTAAAGGCCGGGAACAGTGGCTCATGCCTATAGTCCTAGAACTCTGGGAAGCTGAGGCAGGTGGATTGCCTGAGCTCTTGAGTTCGAGACCAGCCTGAGCCAGAGCAAGACCCCATCTCAAAAAAAATAGGTGGGCGTTGTGGCAGGTGCCTGTAATCCCAGATACTCAGGAGGCTAAGGCAAGGGGATCACTTGAACCAAGAGTTTGAGATTTCTGTGAGCTATGAAGCCAGGGCACTCTACTACCGAGTGTGACAAAGTGAGATTCTTGTCTCCAAAAAAAAAAAAAAAAAAAATTTCCTGGTAAAGAAAACTAAGTCAGCATATTTGTCTTTGGTTTGGTAAAACAAGAGTTTGTTTGTACAAAATCAATGAACCAAAAAGTGTTGGCCAGCACACTGCTGTCATTCCAAAGTATACAACACCAATAGTATGGTTATAGAACTATAGCCTATAACCTTTCTTTGGGCTCCTACATGGGTCTCAAAATAATTATCTTTCATCCCTCTGGCATAAAGAAGAGCTACAACTACAAATATATAACATGGTCTTGTGAAACTAAACTGGTCAAAGAGGTGTTTGCTTTATTTTAAAAATAACTGGAGGTTGGGTGTGATGGTCCCAGCATTCTGGGAGGCTGAGGCAGAAGGATCATTTGAGCTCATGAGTTCAGACTCAGCCTGAGCAAGAGTAAGACCCCGTCTCTACTAAAGATGAAAAACTAAGACAAGAGGATTGCTTGAGCCCAAGAGTTTGAGATTGCTGTGAGCCAGGACTTAAGATAGGAACATTGGTTTTGTTTTGTGACAGTCTTACTTTTTTACCCTCAGTCCTGGTAATCTGACTTCTTACAACAAGGATGTGATTTAAAAGACATAATCCTTCGTTCTCAGATAATAATCCCCAAACATTTCTTTAAACAGACTTTAACTAGCAAGCCCCACCCATCACCCCCACACCTTGACCTCCCTTCTCTGTTTTCTCCCCATAGTGCACATTATATATTCATGTGTTTGTGCGCACTTTTAAAAAAAGAATCCAAGTGAAGCTGTCCCCAGTGCTCTTGAGTAATTCCTTACACATGGTGGATACTCAAGAAAAGAGTTTAATAAATTATAATGGTAAAAATTGAAGCAATGCAAAAAATAGAGTAATAATGATTAAGTGCTTAGGCATAGTTCTTTGATTATGTGTAGTCACTAAAAATGTAATTAACCTAACTATTTCAACTTGAAAAATAGAGGAATGCCTGGTGCTGTGGCTCACTCCTATGATCCCAGCACTTTGAGAGAATCACTTGAGGACAGGAGTTCTAGACCAGTATGAGTAAAAGTGAGACTCCTGGCTCCATAAAAAATAGAAAAATTAGCCAGGCGTGGTGGTCCATTTTTGCAGTCCTAGCTACTGGGAGGCTGAGGCTGGGAGGTTGCAGTAAGCTATGATGACACCACTGTGCTCTAGCCTAGGAGACAGAGCAAAAAAAGAAAAGGAAGAGAAGGAGGCAGGGATACTTTCTGTCCACCAGTTAAAGGGAAGAAAAAAGAAAGAAACAGAAAAAGAAGGAGAGAAAGAGAAAGAAAAGAAAAACATATATTGTTAAAGGGGGAAAGCAAAATGCAAAGTGGTACAAGGATACAGTAGATTGTTACAGCAATGGTCCCAACAGGACCTGCCTATTTCTGGACTTTTGTGAGGTCTCCTTCCACATTGACTCTGGGCTTGATCATGTGTCTTACTTTGGACAATGGCACATTAGCAAAGATGATGCAAGAAGCAGCCTGAAGAAAGGTTTGCACGATGAGTCTTGGCCTGTCTCTGGTGTTGCTTCTGGTACCCTGCAGCCCGGATAGCATGCTGTAGATACATTATCCAGCCCATAGCTAGTAGTAGCTGCTAGACATATAAACAAGATCATATCCAGCTCCATATTATACTACCCAGCACTGAAAGACCACAGTGGCATGAATGATACCAGCTGACAATGGCAAAAGATAAGCCCAGTTGAGCTCAACCAACTGATGATTCAGTTGGTAAGAAGTTAAATGATTGTGGTTTCTTTCTCTCTCTCTCTCT